GGGGGGGGGGGCAGGTGGCGGCTGCGGCGGTGGCAGCGGCTCGCGCTGGAGCCGCGCCAGTCGCGTCTAATTTATGTAAATGAGATGATTTTATACGGTTTGATTGAGTCATCGCTGCGTTAATAAGAGGCGCCGCGTGGCGCCGTGTCGTTTTGGCCGGGCCGGGCCGGGTCGGGTCCCCCGGCTCTCCTCTCACCTCGTCGCGGAGCTTCCTAGAGGAGGGGCACGCCGCCGGCCGGGCCGTGCGGACACGAACCGGATGGTGCGGGACGGGACGGGACGGGCCCTGCGCGCCCGCGGGTCACGCTGTCACGATTTGTCATCCTGTGTGAGGGGAATAAAGAAGGAAGGTAAACGGGGACGGGATTTAGTTGGTGAGCGATCATCATTGTGAGCACTGCGGCGTGCGCCCAAGCCAGCCAGGCAGCCAGCCTCCGCGAGGCTCTAGCAGGCTAGGCCGAGTACTTTAGGTTTGACGCGCGACTCTTGAATCGCTCAGTATCTATGATGCCGTAGGAATGCCCAGAGGCACAGGCGGGGCGGGGCGGGGCGTGGCATGGCGTGGCGGGCTCTCTCTCAGGCTGATTAAAACATACGACATGGGCATGCGCGCGCTCGCCGCGCCGATGGTCCGGGGAGCCCTGCGGGGAGGTGGAGGGGGCCGGTCGCAAAAGTATAACTCATGCAATGCCGCAAAGGATTTGTCTCCTCGCGGGCCTGGCCTGGGCTGGGCTGGCCGGGACGTTGGCCGCGCCGGGCACGGCCGTGCAACATAACTCACCCCATGGCTGGTCACGGGTCTCATGAGGCTGGGCCGCGCCGTGCCGCCGGCCCGCGCTGTCCTCGCGTACGGCCTATTTATGGCAATTCAACGTGAGTCGCATATGTGTACAGTCCGGCGCACAAGTGCGTGCGGGGGGCGGGTTTGGCGGTGTGCTCTCTTGGTCAGGTGTGTACACGCGGTACGCGGTGCGGAGGACGGTGACTCCCATCTGCCCTGCCGCCCGTCCGCTTCTCCGCGGCGGCCTGATGACAGTTTTATCACCCGTAATGGTTCGGATTTTTAATATCATTTCTTTTCTTGTCGTGCCCAGTCCCTCCGCGCCGCCGCCGCGCCGGCTACGCCGCTGGCCGGGTGACTCACCGCGGCCCGCTCTCACGCGGCGGCCCTCCCCGGGTCCGTACGTACCCGCCTGTGCCCGTCCCCCCCGCCGCTCCAGAGTTATTACGCCACGTTCAACGCATCGGTATTTACCGGTACCTGTTTTGTCGCAGGGTGTTATAATAATCAATTTTCCGCGCTCGCATTGGTGGGCTCTGCCCCGTCCAACGGTTTACTTATGGGCTTAAGTGACTCCCCCCAGCCCGGTGACAGTGTGGGAATCTTTGCGGCCCGACACCGCCGCGTTCGCCATGTCCTTACTTTTCTCCATCTCTTCCCAAAAGCTCGTGTGTGTTTCGTTTTAAGCTGCTGCTGCCGATCAGATCCCCCAAAGTCTCTCTTCATTTTCCGTTTGGCGGGGCCGCGGGGGAGGATTGATCCCGGGTGTGCACTATCCCCCTCCGCGCGTACGCCGGCCACTTCCTCGTATAATCGTGCGCTTATCGCGGCTGATCGCCCGGGCCCGCCCGCTAGTCTAATGATCCCAACACTTTTCTAATCAGAAGTTAATTCAGCCCAACGGAAGCCCCCTTTGTGCCCGGGCAGCAGCGGCCGCCTCCTCCTCCGCCTCGGGGCCTTTGATTAGCGCCGGCCGGGTAGGCAACCCAACGTACGCGTAATCAAGCACCTTGAGGGAGCGCTCGGCCTTCCTTACTACTAGTACTCGACGCGCACGAAGCGAAGCGCTTTCCAGTTTTGAGCTTGACACGGACGCGACCTCGCGACCCCTCTTTGTATTCACTTTAACTCGGGAACAAAACAAAACGAAGGGGGCGCCCTCTTTTGACGCATCTCGTTATGCACGGCGGGGTGAATGGTCTCCTTGATCGATGTCGGCCCCGGAGACATTTCACTTGGAAAAGAATGGAGGGAGGAAATCTCAATCCCGCGCACGGGTCGGAGTGTGGGGGGGGGGCTGCGTCGCTGAGAGTTTGGGAAGAACTCGGGAGGTGCTCTTCCGTGTCGCTCCCACTTGCGGGGCCGCGCGCGCGCGGTTTCGGAGGCGGCCCCGCCCGCACTGGGCGGCCGGGGTTGTCCTCGTCACGCGAGCGTCACGCCCCCGTCACGCGATCATCATCGTTGTCCCGCCGGGCTGCGTCCTCCGCGCAGGGGTGGAAAATAGGAAGTAATCCGGGGCTGCTACTCGTTCAAAAATGGTTCGCCTAAGGATGTGATGTATGCCTGCACCACGGGGAGATGTTTGGGATATTTTGAGGGGTTTTGGCCAATCGTTACTGATACCGAACTAGTTTATGTTTCAACTCTTGATAATTACCCAACTTTTCCTTCGACAGTTGCCTGGGACGCACCTTGAACCGAGTGCACGCGTGTATACAACACATCTGAAGAGGGAAATGACTGCATGGACAGAAAAAGTACTGAGCACTTACATTTTTGGTGGGTAAACTTCACCTTACAAATATTTTTTTTCCTGTTCATATTGAATATTTATTTTTACAATTTTCTCTATTTCAGGCTACCAATTTTTCATTTCTCCTCCAGGAAGGGCCGGGGTTCATCTTCACCCAACGTATGTGTAGAGAGTTGATTTCTATATGGATAAGTATTTTTACATATCGTGGGTCAGGCCTTCAAATGACTTCATGAACAGCTTTGAACCACAATTGGCAAAGGTAGTTTTAGAACGATAACCGCGATAACAGTGAAAAATGAGAGAATAACACAACCCGAATCTAAACTTGATTCACGGCGTAGGCCGGTGGAGAGGCAAAAAACTTCTTTGAAAACCGAGATAATTATCCGAAAACGCTCTAGTTCGGGCGTCTCCGGGAAGTGGAGTGTGATGGCCTTCTCGCGTGTCCCTGTGGGACCGCCCCTCGGCGTCGCCCGCCGCGCCCTCCTCTATGGCGTGACGATCTCGGGCCTAAATGCCACACGGATATTATCGTTACGCCCGCCTGTGTGGCCGCGCGGCCCGTGCGGCCCCGGGCGTCATGCTGCCGCGCCTCTGCCGGGCGTTGCGTTCGAGCCCCGGCGGGGGCGGTACCGTTTTCGGCGCTGCGGTAGTCGGTTTGGCTCGGCCGGGTACTCGGTGGGGTACGTACTGCGGCGGGCGACCCCCCCATCCCTCCCGGACGTCAGAGCGGGGTGGGCCCCCCGTGCAAGTCTGGGGGCCCCGCCTGGTGGCCCGGCGGCCCGGGGGCGGCAAACAGGAAATTATGCAATTTCCTGGTGGGCTATCTTCCCTTCCTCGGGTGCCGTGACAGGGAGGAACCGCGTTCCAATCTAACCCTCTGGCCGGCCACGCCACCTCCGACAAAATACATCCCCTGTCTGTCGAACAGGAGACAAAGTGGCGGGCGCGGCGCGGCCGTGCGCTGCGGCGCCAATGAGAGGGTCCCCCCCCCCCCTCCACTCCCGGGCGCACGCTCCAGGTGCGCTCGACACGTGCGTGACGCGTCGCAGTGACACGAGACGAGAGACAACTAAATGTCCTCTCCCCTCCTCAGGGTCGGTGTCACTCTCTCAATTTTTATTTTTTTGCCCCTTCTAACCTGTTGACCCCGTGCTCAGCGCGCTCGGCCGCATTCACTCACCCGCCAATTAGGGAGTTGGTTTTTTATTAATTTTTTTCCTCCCAGAAATAACTCTTGGCACCCGACCCCTACCGCCGTGTGTGGAAGGTCCCACACACATTTTTGCGGCGCGCGCAGGACTCGCGGCGCGGCCCTCCTCGCCGCCGGGCAGCAGACGCGCACCGTGCGCGCACGCGAGCCCACCCCTTTCCCGTTCCATTTGGCTGTCTCTTCGCCTCTCGTAAAATCTCTCCTGACGCGCGACTTGACTGCCGCGGCGCCCGAGGGGCCTCTCGCGGCTTTCCGCGCCCCGGAAGGCCACCGCCGCCCCCCGTTTTCCAAACTTAGTTTGTTATTCGCAACAAGCCCGCCCACCCCCCGCAGCCCGCGCTCCTCTCCTCCTCCTCCCCGACGACTCACCTTTCGACCTTTTATTCTTGCTGAACCGCGTCACTCAGTCCATGTGCCACTTCGAGGCCAAACCCTCACAGAACTCTTGTTTCTTTATTTTGTTTTTCATGTATTTTAATTGTCAAGATATAATCTTTCTACGACGGGCTTTATTTTGTTTGTGTATTTCGGTGCTGGTGTTACTGGGACGTTCGCTGCCTTGGCCAGGAGGTTGTCCAGCTTGTCCAACCCAGTCGCCGCGCCCAGCGTCGCCTTGCCGCGTGCGGGGAAGGGCCCTATGGTCCTGGCCTGATGGTAGGAGAGAGAGAGCCGCTGGCTGCGGCGGGGGAGAGAGGGCGTCCTCAGCGCGCTGCACTGCACTGCATGACCGCGCCGATATTTATGGGGCGTAGCGACGTGCTCGGCCCCGCCACGCCCCGCCACGCCCCGAGTGTATCGGACTCCTGGGCGCCTATACTTGCTCTCTCTTCGTCGTCCCCCCCCCCCTTCCCTCTCTCTGTTTCTTGGGTACCACCTCCTCCTCCCTACCTCCTGTCTCGGGCTAAATCGCCTTCGCTTGTCGTTCTGGCTTGATTGCAACGTGGCATCGCTGAAGGGCCGGGGGGCGGGCGGGGCAGGGGACGCGGAGCAGGGGGCGTTCCAGCGCGCAAGTTCCCACCCCGGCACGTCTTTTGCACGTGCAGCGTGGTGCGGCGCGCCGTCGCCCGCGTCCCTGTGGCGTGGCGTGCTGAGCGGCCGCCCCGCCCCGCCCCGCCCCGGCTCACGGTGCGGCGGGGCACCACACTTTACGGCCGCTCCTGACCTCGCCGCTGTTTGTTTTGCGCGTGTAGCGCTCCGTACGGCAATTAAAGGTGGAATTCGATAAGCTGCTCTACTCGCACTTCATCGATGCCTCGCCGAGATTCGATCCCCCTCTGCAGCAGGTCCCGGCCGCGGGGCGTGGTGGCGCCTCCGCCGCCCCGGTCAGCGTGCAGTGCAGCCCGCGAGCCTGCAATGGGGGCTTATTCCCATGGTTTTTCGGCGGGGACCCACGCGCCACAGTTCGTGCCCGTCGCGGAGCCTCCTCCCGTCTATCCTCGCTGAACTATGAGAAACGCCGACTTTCTCATCATGACGTGTTTCGTTTTATCTGTTTCGGTGGGACCGGGCGGACGAGCGGGCCATAGGCGCGCGCGCACCCGGGCCGGCGGGCCTGACAAACTCGCCTCCTCTCTTCGTCCTGCCGCTGAAGATGTGCGAGGGAGTAGAGCAGGAGGTCGGTGTTGCGCTCACTTTTAAGACTCGCTCACAAGCTGCTGCTGCTGCTGGTGGTGCTGCTGAGAAGAAAAACTCGTTTGGGCGTTAGTCCAGTCGATGCGCCAGGTCTGCGACTCCCTAGGGACCCACTAGTTCCCACGCGGCGAGTGCGAGGCGCAAAGTGTCCATGGCACCGCCCCGCGCGCCCCGCCCGCCGCGGCCGCAGTTATAGAGGCGACTCATGCGCCGTTCGGCGACGCGAGTCGCGACGTAACGATGGAGCGCGCGTCTCTCTGCCCATTCATTTTCTCAGTGCCCCCCCCTCCCCTCCCTTCCTCTCACTCCTCGGCAGCGTAACAAGCTCCGGACATGTGTCCCCCGCCACTTCCCACGAGCGGGCCGGGCGGTGTTGTAGGTGTGGGTCCGGACGGGGTTGGATCTGCGCGGGTCGGAACACCGAGGTGCGGTTTTTGTTGCCTCCTTCGGCTGAGCGCTGCGGTGTTAACTTATCGGCTCTTTGCCAGCAGCTGGCTAGGCTCTGGCTACTCCTACGCCTACCGCTACTTCATCGCGATTACGACTCGATTTAATTGCAACGATGGCAGATTGCATATGTTTTTGATGATGGACGGCTTTCACAATTTCAGCCGGCGTGCTGCCCGCGCCGCTTGGCGGGGGGCCAGAGTGCCGCCGCCGTGCGACACGCGGCCGCAAGAGGGCCCGCGAGGCCCCGCCCCCCGCACCGCTATTGGCCGGCCGGGCGACGGTGACACTTGGGGACATGGCGACACAGCACAGCCAATGGGGGCGGGGCGACTCGGCCGGCGAGAGGCGCAAGGGCGGGTGACTGGCACGGCGCCTGGAGGGCGGGCCGCCCCGTTGAGCACCCGTATTCGGCGGGGTTACCTGCTCGACCGTCGCCAGCCCGGGCCCCGTTCGGGGTAGGCCGTCCCGTTAAGCAGCCGTGTGGTGCGGTGTTGCCTACTAGGCAGGCGTCTTGGCCGTGGTCCTTGCAGCCGGTCCAGACCGGGGCCCCGTTCGGGGTAGGCTGTCACGTTAAACGTACGTGTAATGCGGTGTTGCCTACCAGGCAGGCGCCTTGCCTCTCCAGCCAGACCCCAGACCCACCGGCACTGGGGCCCCGTTGGCGGTGGGCCGTCCCGTTTAGCAGCTGTGAGTTGCGGGGTTGCCTACCGACTAGGCGGCTCGCCCCTCCAGCCGCTCGCAGCCGGGGCCCCGTTGGCGGTGGGCCCTCCCGTCAAGCAGCCGCGTGTTGCGGGGTTGCCTACCCGGCAGGCGCTCCCCTCCAGCCGCGCTGCCGCCGCTCCGCGCCTCGCCGCTTTGCTCCTCGCGGTTCGGCTCGGCTCGCTGTGGCCCGCCGCGCCGCGGCTCGGCTCGGCTCGGTTCGCGGGTAGGGTAGGGCCGTGTGGCTGGCTGGGCGCGCTGCTGGCAGCTGGCGGCCCCCTCTGCAGCTTCAGTATAGACTGCGCATCGCGCCGGTCGGCTCGCCAAGCACTCCGTGTATTTAGTTTCGCTCGCTGGCCGTGGGGCGCCGGCCGTGTGCTATCCGTTGCGTGCCCCTCCCCCTTCCGCCCTCCTCTCCCCGTGGCGCTCCTCCCCCTCT